GGAGCAGGAACTTGAAATGGGAAGGAAACTACAGAGTCCTTTTGTCTACTCTTAGTAGAGTCATAGGGTAGTTCTCCCATCCTGTCCTCCTTTGCTTCAAAAATCAGATCTGTACCTACCTAGAAATGCAAAGCGGAAGCACCGAGATGCTCCCCCAATGCCACCCCAAAGGATCATTGAGAGCTCAACGAAATTTGCCACCTTCACGAACTTTAGGACGGAGTATCAGATGGTTTGATGTCATGGAAACAATGGGTTGTTCTCCTAATTTACCACACCTTCAGCACTTTGTCCTCTTATGTCTGCAAACTACCATGAAAGCTGGTCCTCCCACTTTCTATGCATTTTAGTCACAAAGGAGGTCAATAGAGAAGATTCGGGAGATTATGTTGGCAGACAGTGGGGACTTACGGGTCCGGTCTCAATAACGCGACAATTGTGACGGAACTTGAGAATGCTACAGCTCACTCAACACAGGATAAGGCTTGTGCTGTAACGAATCCTTCGATGATCCGTCAACTTCGATGCCATGCCAGGTGTTCTGTCGAAACGGCTTCGATCCGTAATTTACATCCGTTCTGACTTGGAACCCTGAATGATCTTCCATGCGTTGAATGCCTATTTCTAGACCATTTCTACGTATGCATACTGACGAGAATTCGGATTAATCGTCTTTGTAACCGCGTTTCCTCGGACCAACAGTGGCTAACATCTTTGCTTCAATCCAAGGCTTTGCAAAGCCCAACTCGGCAAGGTCAAGCAACTAGTTGAAATTGTCAAGTCGGATGCATTAATCATGTCACTTGGTGAGTTTGAGGCAACTCGATGAAAGATTGTTGTCTTTGTTGCACTCATCTATCACCTACCCTAAGCTGCACTTCGAAACATCGCCAAACAGACCCATAAAACTGCAGATTTCGTGATTATGAGGTTTTTTTGGTATGGAAACCTGTATATTACACGCACAGAAGAGAAACGGTGAGGAGGAATAGAGAGAGTAAGGATAAAAAATTCTGAGAGGCCAAGAGGAGGAGTAGAGAGGAGTCAGAAGAAAGCAAAGGCACCCGCGGACTCGCCACTGACACTAGCACCACGTTCATTCTCATGACAACTGGAGAAGTTGTTGGGAAACAGGGGTCCTTTGGCTAAGCGCGACATAGTGAGCACAAGTTCGGCAAATGTGGGTCGTCGTACACCCTCAGCATTCCAGCATTGCTGCATCACCGCGTAGATGGCCTCGGGACAACGAACTGGACGCGAGAGTCGAAGACCTTGGTCCAACATCGCCAATATCTGTGCTCCCTTCATATCCTACAAGGAAAGGAGAACACGCCTGCCACCACTATCCTGTGGCCCTTTCCTGAAACCCTAACAATATATTTATTTCCCTCTTCTAGCGGTATGACAATACGCCCATTTCCGACGACCGCTAAAGGTCTCAAGACATTAATCCAGCGACTAACAATGTGGTGGATTCAAAACAATTGTGCCAACTAACGAAAACATACCATTAGAGAGGGAACCATGACACGATTTCCGCATAGGCAATGTCGCAATAACTGGGGTAAAGGCATTAAATGAACTTCCATCGTCGTATATTTTTAGCTCTGTTTGGACTGCAATGCCCGCCTTTGGACCCCGCCCCTCCCCTCCCCTCTCCTCCCCTCCCCTCCATTGCCCTCCTCTCCACTCGCCAGACTGCAAGACGCGTCCGTCAGTTGTTACTTGTAGCAAACGAGGAGGATTTTGTGTTATATACAGACAGCATACAAATGACCAAGAAAATGACGACAAAGCCTTAAACATGGACATCGATGCAACATCCTCCTCGGACAAATCACCGTTTGGTTCAGGTTCGCTTTATAAAACCGTGACACTTAGTCACGTCGACTGGAAAAGCAGGTGGCTCACCTTGTAGGGTCTTTCACCGTAGGAGAAGACTTCCCATAGCGTGATGCCGTAGCTCCAGACGTCTGATTTGGAGTCAAATCGGAAGTAGTAGATACACTCCGGTGCGTACCACTTTAGCGGCCACTTACCAGCACTCGCCGCCTATAAATTTAAAGCAAAATGTTCACATTTCTGTAACGCAATAAGGGAAAAGGAAGACAACACCATCTCACGCCAGGTACCTAAGAGAGTGGATCCTGGGAAGGAAATACAATTAGCTTTTATCTCTCCTTTTATCGGCTCCCATTATGTTCCTCGTCTCATGCGTACCAATATTTAAGTTAAAAGGCTTGTTTTCTGCCGAAGTTGCATAGTTTACTGCTCTATTTTAGAATTCAGCATGCCTAATCAAAAGCAGCACGTGAGTAAGGCGAAGAGAGGAGACGCGGCACCTAATGGATTGCTGGTAAAGTGAACCGGTGGTTCAAAGTAACCGTACAAAGACTCAAATTTGGGAAAAGTTGAGTGAACGTCGGCAGATAAGTTCAAGAGCAGGTCAAATCGACAGCCAAATGTAGAGTCATGCCATCCAAGTAAATAGCATGTTTCATGTCCAAACAGGGCAGTCGGCGGTTTTTTGACTCCACTGGATGGCCGTTCTACATGATCGAAACCCACTCTTTCGGTGAGGGGGAAACGTGGCACAACCACTCAGAATTCAACTGCTGCGTGACAAGTTTTAACATGAAAGACGAAGAAGAAGGGCTAAAATTGACCTCTGCCCTTCTGCAGGAATACACCACTAGTTCCCGTCGTGGACTGTCCAGAGAGACTCCTTACGTAAGTCCTTGTAGTATTTACTTGGCGGTTCAAAATAAGTGAACACGAACCATTTTTGACTTGAGTGAAATTTTTGGACAGAACAATGAGGCAAGGAGGAAGTGAGCCAAAAAAATCGTCTCTTGCTTATCAAGTACTTCGATGCTACTATTCAACAGTTCTTGAACAGCGCACATCCACAAGTTTAGTGGACTCGTCCAGACACCCTCTCTGTCATGGGCCAATTCGACGTCTGGTTTGGTCGGGTGGAAAGTGTTCTT